AAACTAAACCGAGTTCAACTGCTCGGGCAGTTGCCGTAAAGAAAAATGTTCCAATTTCTGCTCTCATCTGATCACGGACCTTTCAGAGAAGGGCATCCGAACCTCTGACGACTTTAGAGGCTAAATTCAGTACCATCCTGTCATGTAGACACTCCAAACTCACAAGTTCATGGCCTCCCTATTGTCGAGGGATGTACAATTTTGTGGAACGGATGATTTGCGATGCACACTCCTATTGAGATGCATCATTTTTCGGGTCTTAACGTCAAGTTGATACAGCTCCTCCCGAGTTCACTTCACTACTCCAAACGAGTAGAGTAAGACTGGAACGGCAAGCATATTTGTTGCAGCAACTTTGTTCTTCCTCTACAGTTCCGATGACCAGATCTGTCGAAGTGTGTGCTCATACTTGCCGCGGAGAGAGTTTTTCACTGCTATCACCTCTTGTGAGTGGCGTTGTACCACCCCGAGGTAAGTATACGTCCCTCTGGCATCCAGATGGTGTAGGATGCTTCCATCTACGAGCTGCACATCCCCTCCGCAGTCCTCACATCGTCCTCTTTTGAGATGGACCATTGCACATTTTTCATTCCCGAATTTCATACCGATAGCATGCCTGCACTCTTCCACCACCCTCAAGGACTGATGGAGATCCTTCTCTGCTGGGGTATGAAGTTTAAGATCATCCATATAAAACAAATGGGTGACCTTGAGCCTCTGGTTTCCGGGGGTGCCACAGTTACACCCTCGAGTATTTCTGAGCGCAAGGAATAATGGCAACAGTGAGATGCAGAAGAGAAGGAGACTGAGGGAATCACCCAGAAATACACGCCTTCTGAAAATGACCTACCCTGTTTGGAATCTTACTTGATCAGATGTTATGGTGAAGCGAGTTTGCCAAAGTGGTATCAGCTGTTTAATGCATCTCACTATTTTGTCGGGTACCGCAAGGCATCTGAGCAAATGCAAGATGAGCTCATGCGAAATTGTATCAAATGCCTTACGGTAATCGATCCAGGCCATAGAGATGTTACGCTTATACTGTATCGAATCCTTCGTAACACATCTGTCGATGTGTAACTACTCAACCCTTTTCAGCACTTATACTAAATTTCTATAAAATCAAGAACTAGTCACTCCAACTGAACATAGGTACCGTTTCTTTACTCTAGAATAAGGAAAGAGTAAGGAAACTGTAACATTGCCAAAAAAAAATCACATTAACTCTGCTAGTTTCTGAAATTAGCGTTAGCACTATATTCCTCAGCTACAGTCCTTAGATATCTTTCTTGGTCAATACTTCCTCAGCACCAGATCAAGACGTAAGTTTCTGTAGTAATTGATATTATTATCAAATATTTTCAATAAATCAAAATTAATTATCAATCATTCGTGTAAAAACCTGTTTCATGGTTGGTTGTTACCCCGTTGATGGTATAACAAATAATCCCGACAGCATTTTTGGTACAAACTCACATCAAATCGTGATCTCTATTAGACTAAATAAGAAATAAAGGAGTTTTTTGAGGAGATAGAAAAACTATACCACCTCTCCAATAGTAGTAATAAAACAAATTACTCGAACATAAATAATTACTATTGTGTTCACAGAACAATAAACCGAATATACTAAAGATATATACTGTCGATTGATATTAAACTGTAGGGATAGGTCATCGTTACGGTTTTTCACTATAGTTTTCCAAGTTGATATATTTTTTCAATTTTTATTATTAAACTGATTCTGCAAAAAGGTACTTAAAAGGTGATGAACAATCAGCATTCTCTTATCGTTGGTATTATTCTGAAATTCTAAAAAAAAGTGGAAGAAGAACCTTTAAACATCTTTAAAAAATCAAGAAAGTCGTACAAGTAGTGTCGTGGGTAAATCATTCTTCACTTTCGGTTATAATGTCATAAGTTATTTCAACCGTGCTGAGTTTGACAGGTAATTGAATCAAAAGTAAAAGATTTTTATCCCTTACTTATGCAATTTGTACTACGATTAGAACATGTTTAAAAATAAAAATGATAAGAAAACATTTTTGAAACTGAGCTTTTGTGATTTTGAATATGTTACAAAATAACCTAGATCAAACAATAACCGAAATTATTTTTTCATTTTTTGGCATTTGTGTAAAAGCACGTCACGTTTTTACAAATAATTGTTCAATCTGATAAAAACATCAGATTCGGAGAAAAACTTTCAGTTAATGAAGCAGCTGAAATAAAATTAAAGAAAAACAATATACAAAATATTGGAAAACACTGCAGCAAGATACAAATATTCCAACACTTTTCTCTTCTGACGTCAATTTGGAAACCATGAAACTTCTGCTGGGAAAGTGGTTTTAGATTCTATTTTAAATGTTTCATCTGTACGTTTGAATATTCATAGCGTGTGAGTATTTGAAATAACTTTCAAAAAACCCAACATTTCATTTGCGGTTAGATCGGAACATGCCAAGTATCACGTCGTATGAATATATTGAGAATATTGAGTTTATTTCTTTATCAAGCTAGTTTGCTGTCAGACGTACTGAAAAATTATCATTTCAAAAATGATGAACAGGATCATATTGAAGTTTTCATAATGAGTTTTTAAGAAGACAATAAGTCCAAATTTCCGGTGTGGAAAAATCTGAATTATATTTTCGTCTTTTGAAAAACGTATATTTTTTGAAGATCCCACAGCGATGAAACTGACAGCGATGGAATAACATCTTAATTCTGGTAATGTAGCAGTTGCGGTCTTTTGTGATCTTTCTAAGGCGTTTGATCGCGTTGATCATAAGATCTTGCTAAGAAAAATTCACCAATACGGCTGCAGAGAAATCACGATCAAATGGTTTGAATCTTACCTTGAATGGTGTGATGCTAATTTGCTATCCTTCAATATCACTAAAACAAACATTTCGTCATTCAGATATTTTTCTATAGGTAATCTTTCAAAATCTCCCTTGTTTCGTTATATGTTCACTCTGGTTCTGGCATTGAATCTGGTCATTATTACGCCTTGGTCAAAGACGAAACTGACTGGTGTTCTGGTGAAGTATTGAATTTATTAGACCCTCTAGAGACACTCTACATTTTGTTTTATGAGAGAGGACATTGGCAGATCAAGATCTTCAGATGATGTGGTGCTGCAGGTTTTTCTGCAGCTGGAAAAGCGTATGCGCCACTGGAATCAATGAAGTCGGCCTGGACTGCCAATTAATTCATTTTTGTTGTTGTTTTATAATTTCATGATTTGTATTTTGGAAGTGTTATAACAAATGTACTTTATATAATCTTTTGGTCATTTCCCTTCCATTTTTTCAAAATTTCATAGCATTTCCTAGCAATACACGACCGAAAAGAGCATTTATTGAGCAATTATTTATCTGTAGGTACTTTTTAAATGAATCTTCCTTATTTGATTGAATTTTTATTGATTTTCAAAAGTTTCTTTTCAAATCCGTGTTTTTTCATTTCAATTTTCTGAATCCATTTTATATTATCTAGTTAAGAGAGAGAACCATAGATCTGATATCATCTAGTTTACCTAATATTATCGAGTTTATTGAAAGAAAGAGCTCACAGATGGAGTGGAAGAAAAAAATCAACAGATAATAGTTGTAGTAGTAGTAGACTTTATTTTTAGGAATCTTAATATACAGTATATAGTTATGCATGTATAAATAATTTATATACGTATATAATTTTACAGTTCGTCATGTATTCTAATTTGATATATTCTAATAATAACTTTTTGAATGCTTTCAAGGAATTTACATGTTTTATTTCATCAGGTAACTTATTGAAGCTATCTAGACCTTTGGAGAATAATGAATTCATTCCACTCTTGAAGTTTGTTCGGGATATATACAATGTATTACATGTTCTTGTGTTATCTATATGAATGAATGTCACTATTTCGAACTGAATATCTGCTAAGATAGGCTGGTTGTATCCCACTCGTAATNTTTCATGATATTTAGTATGTTATAAAAATATCCCTAGACTTTTCCGATGTGTGTAATTCTCATACCTCGATTTTGTAGTTTCTGTCCTATTTGATTTTGGTTGAATAGATACATCAGTGTGGCACAGTAGTCAAAGGATGGCCTTATTATGCAGTTGTAACATGCTAGTCTAGCGAAGGTTGATAAAGATTTTGAAATTCTAGAGAAAAAATACATTTTCTTACATATATTTCTAATGGAATATTCAGCATGCGTATTCAAATTTAATTAATGGTCCATAATGAATCCTAGGTACCTAATTTCATTTACAATTGTGAGTTGATTATTGAATATGCTGATATCAACATCATCAGTATCAATCTTTCTTTGATTCGAATTTGATGTAAAAATAATTGCCTTAGATTTATCGATATTCAATTAGAGTTTAATCACTTGTAGATATGATTCGATGTTCTCCAAAGAAATAATGATATTTTGTATAGCTTCTTTCAAATCACAGTTTTTTGTATATACAAGGGTATCATTAGCAAATAAATTAATATTGTGGGAACCTCGTACATAGATGATATCATTTATATAAATATTGAATAGCAGTGGTCTCAAAACACTGTCTTGTGGTACACCTATATCATTTATAATTTGATCTGACATTACATTACAAATTTAAGTCCTTTGACTTCTTTGCTCAAGATAACTATCTAACCAGTTCAAAGCTTTTCCACTAAAACCACAATACTTCAGTTTGTTGATTGAAGTTTTCCTATTGATTGTGATAATTATATAATATTTCCGTGCCTTTTTTTTCAGAATTTTATAACCTTTGCCAGCAATAGAACAGACCGAAAAGAGTATTTATCGACCAATTATTTTTTACAGATACTCTTTTCATAATTTTGTTTGTTTTATCTTATGTTTATTATTTTTCGAATATTATTTCAAATTCTCTTCGTTCAAATCTTCTGAATCCATCTAATAATATCCATCCACACTACCTAATATGAAGAAAGAACCGAGTTTTTTAAACTCTGCCTGGCAAATTAGAAATAAGAAATAAAAATACAAACGCATTCAGAGCGCAACTACACCGATCACTCAACCACGAAGCAAAAAACTTTCACTCATTCAACTACTTACCTAATAACGAGGTCAACTCTTAATAAACTCAAGTGTGCATCTGCAATAAAGAGCCCCGAAGGCACCATATGCATCCCAAGCATGACGCCAAATATCATCGAAGTACCCCTATCTCGGCTAGAACATCAAGTCGCACTCATACATAACAAGCGAAAGAGCCGCATAAGACAGCAGCCCACTTGAAAATTAAATTAACTGCCTCAATGGAACGAGTTCACCAGAGGTGGCTATGACACGCAGTCGTTCTCTTGTTCTTAAGCGGCATTGTCAGGGCCTCCTACTCTTCAGCAAGCATACCTGGTGGAATTCCACGATGACTTCCACCGCTTCATGACTCAGAGTTATCGGCTTTTCATTTGGCAGTCGTTCGGTAAATACCATCAAGTTCTAGCGTTTGTTTAGCGCGTTTATCGTCAGTGGCTACCGTGTTTGTTTACTGTGAAACCACAAAAAATGAATAATGTTTACAATGGCAGTTTTTACCCGGCTAGGAGCGACATGTGCTTCGTGAGTATTGTTTTTGTTCCTTCTATCGAAATGGTGTTATGTTTTGATTTCCATAAAATGTTTATTAGTCCTTTGATGCGTTCCGGAAGTCGATTAAACTGGGCCAGTCAGTGAGTACATAAACTCGCTCATTATTACTTGATTGTAATTTATTCCCCTGCTGTTTACATTTTTGATTCGTGGGTACGAGCCAATGCACTCTGGATTGTTTTGCCCTGATGTAAATGTTAGTAGTACCTTTTCAAACAGTACCTACAGTTTCTAGTTTCAGTCGTTCTAATCTAGGCAATTTACTGTACTTGGTGTTTGTGCAATCATTTAAGTTATGGCAATTGGCAATTGAACGTGAACCAGACCATTTATTAGTAGGTATAATGTGTTCAAACGAACTTTTGGCTCAGTCTGATTGAGGCAGGTGAGAAATTGACTGGACAACACGAAAATATTTCTGGTACATACCATGGCTGCCTGATTACAATCATTAGTATGCCCTCTTCAGGACATCGTGTGAGGTTTGTCCTTCGGGTAAGTCTTAAGAGATTCACTCAGTCCTTGAAGGAGGACCACATTGTATTATTGATTTATTGTGTGTTTACTCATCAAATTCAAGAAATCAATTTGGTACAATGATAAACTTTTGTACTTCGAAAATATCTATATTATCACAGTAAAAAACGATGAAAATAAGCGTTTGTCCCACGGGTTAAAGTTAAAATTAAATTATGGGAAAATATATAATAAAGAATTCTCTGAAATGAGTATCATCTAGGTGAAATTTGTACAAGATTTGAAAAATTTGAAAAAACTAGATTTGAGAGTGAATTAATAGGACTGAACGGACTTAACAACTAGAATTTCAAATCAAATAATAAAGATTCAAGTACTCAAAAACCAGTCAATACAAACATTATCCGATACGCTCGATATAATCCATCATAGTTATTACTTTCCCAAAAATGGAAATAACGTTAGTCAGATAAGAAGTTGAAAATTACGTCAACACATGAATAAAGTAACTATAATAACCGCAGCCTTTTCATACATAGTCGTTTGATCACAGAGATTTGAAGGCTACCTTGGGGGATTCACTAAAGAAATTTAATGTTTCAAAAATTCGAATCCAAGTCTCGAAAACTGACACATGATTTGAAGGCACAAAATGAGAGTTTCAAGATCCAATTTGAAGATGTAAAGCCTGAATGACTCAAACAGCAGTTTCAAAGATTAGAAACAAGGATTCAAGAGATCAAAATATAACTGAAAATATTTGGAGATTTAAGGGATATATTTCTCAGTTGGGTTCAACTAATGTCATTTAATACTATTTTGGTAACACCATACTTAACTACACCCGGCTAAGCTATCTAGTACCACCTGCGTTCTTCGTCAATTGGAAATGTAACAAAATTTGGTGTTCTAATTACACGCCTGGCTCTAAAAACACATACACTTTTTTGTTCGAGACCGTCTCTTTTTAGATTTCTTTCCTGACGTTTCGCTGGCACCAGTGCCTAACTTCTTCAGAGGTTTATCTCCGATGATCGGAGATGAACTCAAGATGTATGGTACTCTGAGAAAGAGAGCCACTTGCGCCAGCGAAACGTCAGGAATACATTTCAAAGATCGACGGCCTTCAAACTCGAATAAATATAAAGACACTGAATCATATGTATGTTTCGAAGATTAAGTACTGTGAAAAAAATCGAATGATGGCGGCATTGTGTAGAGTGGCCAAACTGAAATGAAACATAGTTGTTTGTTTTCTGCATCAACAATTTGTAAAAACGTTGGGCCCCATACAATTTTGAATCTCTTGAAATTCTTGAACTATTTCGAATTTGAAAATTTCGCCTGATAGTTTTGTAAAAAAGGTAGTAACTTCAGTTGTGGTCAAATTTGAAACAAATTTGGGAATTTCAAAATGCTTTTCAAGCGACCCTCAGTACCATTTCAAAATTTTAGGGTGTTTATCACCTCCACTAAAAGGTTGAAGTGGTAGAATCAGAAGTGCTGAAAAAAGTATCAGCTACCCTGTATGTTCAGCTACACTATATGATATTCGAAAAAAATTAAGGTACCCTAAATTAACGATTTAACGAAAATTGATCAATATCGTGTAGTATAATTTGGAATCAAGTCAATAAATTATAACCTCCATAGCACAAAAAAGTAGAATACTCAGAGCAGATGAATTTCAAACCAAATATCACTTATCTCACAGTGGTAATTGGAAACACAATATATTTGCCTACATTTTTTTCTGCTATAGTGTCATATCAGCTTGCTCATGAAGAAAATTTCCGTTTTAACTTTCAGGGCGTGCTTATGAAGACATAAGAGCTGGAAGTTTCGCTATCTAGAAAGTTCTAGAATAGCACAGAACGTTCGACGGTATCTGAAAACATTTCACAACATTCCAAAAAATCCCGGAATAGTCCTTAAATTTGTGGAATGTCTGGAATGGTCTGGAATTTTTGGGAACGACCTGGAAATTTCCAGATCATTGTGGAACGATCAAGGGAGTTAAATGGTGTGGTAACCCTCTAATCCTCACCTAAAAAGAAGATTTTCTTTTTTACTTGAAGGACGTCCTTTAAATGATATAGAGTTTGGAAGCTTTGCCCTCTAGACATTTCCAGAACAATCCAAAACATTCGAGAGTATTTCAATGCATACCACAATATATCAGAAAAAAGCGGATTATTGCGGAATGCTCGGCAATAGTTTGTCCGGTTCGACAACATATCTGGATATCCGTGGAACATTCCAGAATAGTCTGGATCGCTGTGGAATATTCCGAAATATTGCAGCAGAATATTTGAAGTATATTCTTATGGGTAGAGGTATACTAAGCAAGTTCTGCCGATCTCTTATAAGTTGAAGTTTACCCTTTCATTCCAACTTCAACAAAATCTCATAAAATGTTCCTGTGCGAAACCGGGTATCTAGCTTGTAACCAATAATAGTGATATTGTATAAAATGCATTCAAACACAGCAATAAAAACGTGAAGAAAACAAAATATACGACCGTATTGCATCGGATTGTCAGGACGGACGGAATTTATTTTTGCTATAACTCTTATAATTTGAATTGTGAAGTGAGGGCATAAAATGTTGAGGTACTAATGTAGGTACTTATATGATAAAGATAAATATCGTATCCGTCTAATCAACTTACCAATTACCATCATTTGAACTTTATAAACGGTGTAGTGAGCTATCCTTCAAATATTGACATATGCAATTGCGATAGTCTTTGTAAATTTACGAAAGGAGAACAATGTATACCTAATGAATTGTTTTGTTCTATTTCAAAATCGTTTTTGATTACAGCTTGCAGCCTAGAACCACCGCCTCGACTTCTTACGGATAACATCGTCATTTTCAACCAATTTACACAGATAATATACGTACACTTTTCATTGGTGAAAACCATATGAAAATCCGTTCAGTAGTTTTTGAGCTTATCGTGCTCAAACAGATACAGATAAGGCGGGGAACTGTATATTGGTAAATATTGATAACCGACTTAAAAAATGACATTGAGCACTCAAAGACACTTGGAATGTTGACAGTGGCATATGGGGATTGTACTCTGAGTCAGAAGAATGTTTACAAGTGGTATAAGCTTTTCCCAGAAGGTCGAGAAAATGTGGACGACCACGCTCGCCCTGGACGTCCCAACACATCAACAACCGATGAAAATGTTGTGAGAGTGAAGGAAATTGTTATGAAGAATCGTCAAATCACTACTAGAGAAGTTGCTGCGGAAAGTTTGGGCATCAAACATATGGCAGCGAAGTTTGTTCCGATGAAATTACTGAATTTTCACAAAAAAAAACGTCGTATAAGCATCGCTCAGGAATTGGTCAATGACGTCAATGGAGATTCAGATTTGCTTGAAAGGGTCATAACTGGTGATGAATAATCAGTATGTGGTTATGATATTGAAACCAAAGTCCAATCGCCCCAATGGAGAAGTCCGGGAGGGCCAAGACAAAAAAACAACGTTGAGTTCGATCAAATGTCAAGGTTTTGTTGAATGTTTTCTTCGATTATCGATTACAGGAGTTCTTGCCACATGGTGGTGCGGTCAATAAGGAGTATTATCTTTAAGTTATACGCAGCTTGAGAGAAGCAGTGTGAAGAAAACGTCCGGTATTGTGGAAAAACAATTCATGGCTTTTGCATCATGATAATACACCTGCTCACCCGTTATTGCTTGTTCGTAATTTTTTGAGCAGAAACTACACCGTGATCAGGCCCAGCCACCGTGTTCACCAGATTTGCCCCCGTGCGACTTTTTTTCTGTTTCCAAGATTGAAGAAGCTTAGAAAGGACGGCGTTTTGCGACGATTGAAGACAACTGAATCACTGAGAAAGCTCAAGGACATACCAAAAAGTGCATTCAATTTGAAAGTATGTTTTTATGAAGATATTTACCGGAAAACGGACCTTGATAATACATTTCATATAGTGTTTTATTAGGTGCAGAAGAATTTCAAACTGTAAATATTTTTTGGGGACATTAGTTTTAAAGAAAAAACATGTTTAGCTTTAACATATATGAACATCTTTCATCTGTAATAAATCTATCTAAAGTGAAAAATTACTAGGGAAGTGATGATCGCATTGATAACAAATCAATGGGTCTTTGGTAAAATCCACTATAAAAATATTCTCTTTCTTGGATCTGTTTAGATCAAAAAATATCGAATTACCAAGTATTTATTAGGTAAAAATTTTGTTGTTTTGATATGACATACATTCATTGTATTTCTTTAAAAATATCCTTGTAGGACGAAACTGCAAGTGATATAAAAATATAGGATGTTTCAATTCTAATCTATCCATCCATCAACATATATAATTTCCTAGAATTAAAAAATAAATTCCTCATGCGCCACATATTTGATAACAGAGGGACATGAGCACAACCACGTATTCAACCATTTCCAAAAGAAAGGTTTGAAAACTAATCTGTTTATATATATCTGTC